GCGGTGTTAAGATCACCAACCCCTCCCCTCCCCCTCCCCCATGTCCCTCTCCTTACTATAAATACTAAATATCATTGATATAACTCCCAACTCAATATGTTTCTGACTGGAGGAGAACGTGTCACGTGTCATGGGTCAAAACTCACTAATAGGGAAACTTCAACTTGCACGAGATCAGAGCGTGCTCCTTGAAACCGCGGCAAATTGTGTGCCAGCCGGTGCCGAATTCTAGTTTTGAGTTGGGAGGTATAACTATTTGGTTCTCTCACACAATGGCAAGCTTTCGTCTCGTTTCTGTAACCTGGTGACGAGACAACCCCACTTGTGGAATTTTGAATGTAAAGAAAAGAAAACATTTAGTTTATTTGTTAGAATCATAGCAGTGTTAGGATCAAGCAACGACCGTGTATAAAACGTGCTCTCAATAAACTTTATTTACTCATAATAATCTTATTTGACTACAGTCTGAACCTTGTGAAAAAAAAAAAATCCCTTTGTACTCGACGTATTCATAATCTGAATAATTAAAAACCGTTGATTATCATAATCAACAATAGCCTCCCTCAAATCATCTGCCACTTTTTGTGAGGAGGGTAAAAGAATTTTAAAAAAAATAAATAAATAATCGAAATCCTGGTTGCTATTGGATAACAATACGGAACAATTTTACTCAACCTGTAACAAAATGTTGTATTACACAAAGAAGAATAATTTATGTAAATTTTAGAATAGTGATCAGTGGTAAATACAACAATAATCGACTTGAAATTTAAATTAAAGACTTTTATTTAACCAAATGTAAATCAATGTACGTGTGTGTTTGTGTAGGGGTGTTAAAACGGAAAAGATCTGAGGGAAATGTTTTTTCATAACACTTTTTTGCGCTATGAACACAGATTTGGGGTAATTTTAAAATGAATAAGGAGCAAAAAGACGAGATAACAAGTAATGAATCTCTCGAATCCGACACCTTTGACAGACTGCACACGAAAATGGACGAAAATATTGTCGGCGATCACGAAGTCGGTACATCATCAGCACTGGAAAGTCAGCAGCAGATGTCACAAAGTTTTTCTTGGACTATCCACAATGTCGCAATATTGGCATCACTTTGTGTTGTCGTCGTTTTATCATTTGCAGCGCTTTCCATGATCGCTCCATTTTATCCACATGAGGTAAGTTTTGTTATTAGAGAGCAATTCATAGCATTTCACATAGGATATGTACCCAAAATGTTTATCACGACCTAGCCTGCGGAACAGGCGGATTAACGGGGCAGAGAGCCAAACGCGATACACGAGCGCGAAGCGCGAGACGAAAATAAATCGATTATTTCCGTCTCGAACTTCGCGCTCGTGTATCGCGTTTCGCTGTCTGCCCGCTAATCCGCCTGTTCTGCAGGCTAATCACGACCAAATTGGTCATAACCGGAAAATAAGATATTTTGTGGTAAAATATGCACATTTGACGTGCGGAAAATTCATCTGTTACAATACTCTACGGCTCATAACTGAGACCTACATGTAGCTAGGAGAACCTGTACTTACGAGTTTAGTTTTACGAACTTTGACTGTAAAAAGACGGCGCAAATGCATGTCGACGAAAAAATATTTAGAGACCTAAAGCGGGGTTGTTTCTTACATTTCAAATCTTCTGCGAAATGTGAAAAAACACGCTTCAAAATCCCGTGAAACCAGAAAATCACACAGCAGAACAAAATTAATTTTCTACCGTTTTACCAAAACATTTATCGAAAAAATGAAAGAATGATATTTAAGAGGACTGTTTTATAATGACACATTTCTAGCAATGACACGTGTTCAGTGAAAATGATGTTTTGTCACAGAAAAATAAACTTCTCAAATTCTAAAGCTTTAAAATTGATTTTACCTTGACCTGTTGTCATGACATTTCAAGAAAAATAACCAGCTGAAAAATTGCATAGTTATGGTTAAAAGGTCGTGTGCTGCCACAAAAATCGTACATTTTTTTTTACAAAATTCATCATAGTTTGATGTCAAAGCAACCGCCCTCTGCAAACTTGACGTAGAAACCATCTAAACTTAATTAACACAAAATCCAAAAATAGTTATAGTACATGGTACGGCTATCGACTAAGAGGCTTAACTAGGTGTTTTCCATTCGACCAAAGCGTACAAGCGGTACACAAAGCTCCTGGAAACGTTTCCAAAATGCGAACTATTCAACATGGAAGGCAAATTCTCCGTAAACGTTTTTGAGAATTTTATGATATACCTCGTGAGGTTGTCCTCTTTGACAAGAACGTCCAGAAAATGGTGTGTTCCATTCTCCACAGCTGAAAACGTCCGGAAACTGATACTGATACGTCTTCTTGCTTTAATTACTTTACTCCAACAGGCAAAATCTAGAGGAGTATCTACCTCTGTGGTGGGTCTAGTCTTTGCAACTTATCCACTCCTGGTCTTCATTTGTGCTCCTATCTGTGGACTCCTGGTTAGCAACTTTATGCGTTTCCCCATCCCCTTATTTATAGAAAGATCGACCAAAGAATTACTTGTTCACAAAGCTTAATTAGTTGATTAAATTGTATTGGCTACATTTCATTGCAATGGTAACCTTGCCAACCACAGGCCAAGAAACCGTTTAAACCAAGTCTTGTTAGTTTCAGTTGTTTCTAAGCTAAAAATGCGCTTAAAATATTGGTAATCGTTTGTGACTGTAAGCTCGCAGAGGCTACATTGTAATTAATTTGTGCATACTATTTGACAGATAGCAAAGTATGGCCCTAACAGAGTTCTCTATTTTGGTATATTTACTGGCGGGGCATCTTTGACCCTGTTTGGGTAAGAAAACATTGACTCAAATATAACAATGTTCCAATGAATTCCTCCTTGCTTGCTTGCTTCCTTCCTTTAGTCCCCTGACTTCATTATTCCTTTGTTTGTTGTTGTTTCAAATTTTGAGGCGGAGAGGTTAATGACTACAACTTTCGGTTTCTTGCTTTCAGCTTTGGTGCCTGGATTTCTAGTACAACGGAATTCATCGTCTTAAGTTTCCTGTTGAGGGCGCTTTCCGCATTGGGAGGAGCTGCCTCTGAAACTTCAGCCATGTCTATTGCGATAGAAGAGTTTCCAGAAAGATTAGGAATGGCTTCTGTAAGTTTTTTTTTCTAATAATCAGAATACAAATCGCAACAAAACAAATCTAATATACTGTTAGCAAGATTCTCAGCTGGATAAACGGTCGCACTTAGTGAAACAGGCTAAACATTAATCGTCAAGTGTAAGGAAACTTTTTCCCATCAAACTCTAAAGGTAGGCAGTCAGAATTTGTGGTTGAGTGTCTCAAACCTCCTCGCTCACGGCTAACATAGGAATATGACAGAATGCTATCAACTACCTGATCAAGTTCAAGTGGTCAATTTAATTATTTCCAAATATTGATCAAGTTAACATACGCTTGCCAGCAACGCTTGCTCCCTAGCTGGAATACATTTCAGTAAAAATATGGCAAGTTTAGGGTCCCATATTTCCATGAGTTTACAACAGACTCTTATGAAACTTCGCAAATTCACTAAACTTGGCACAGTAAATCGATCCAGGGAGTTGGCTTTTGTTGTTTTTGGGTCAAATCGGTAAAAAGGTCCGTTATTTGGTATCTTCTCCTAAACAGTGAGATGTATTGTTTTAGAAAAATGTTTTTATCATTAAGAGAACATTTCATGAATTACATCCAATTTTTAATTTTATCTGCGGTTTAAGGGCTTCATAGAGACGTTTGTAGGAGTTGGATTATCTCTTGGACCAGTCTTTGGAGGAGGTCTCTACACAGTAAGTAATTAATACGACCATCAGCACTGAGCACAACTGGTGCTAAACAAAACCACTGTCTTTATCTTACAGTTTGTCATCGGTGATACAGTGAAACCTCCCACAAAAGGGCACTCTTTAGAAGTCAACGTGAAGAAATGTCCAACTAGGAAAGGTGTCCCCTTGAGATTAGAAATGTATAGTGTTTGTATGTGGCAGGAAGCCGCTTATGAGAGATGCCCGTATGTAGATGTTCATCTTTATTTAAATCGTTTATGAGAGATTTAGAAAACTCTACGACTGATAATGCACTGATAATGATAATGAGGATTCTGACAAGAATTTTACTCAGCTCTCAAATTTTAAAATGGCATGGTTATTATAGTAACTCTTCATTATAGTCCAGAGTTGAGAAATTTTCCTTGGGGACTCACCCCTATTGCTACCAATTTGGCAAAGGTCTGCAAACGAAAACGCTGCTGCCTGTTAAACGTAGCTCCTAGTGCCCGCGGGTACGCCGCTGAAACAAAGCACATTTCACCATGTTAGCCTAGTAAGCGTTCCCACAGGGTGGTGGGTGCGACAACACGCACGAAAAACTCGAGTTGCAGTGGCAGAGATAGGATTTTACCTTCAGTTAATTCTTATGTCATTTTCAGATTGGTGGATTTGAACTTCCGTTCTTCGTAATTGGTTGTTCCATGGTCGCTGCTATCCCCGTATTATTATGTACGCTCTCAAGTCGATCAGACGAAAGTTCTGATCAAAGGGAGGCTTTATATCCGATAGTCGAGTCCGTAAAAATTCCCGCTGTGTCGATGCTTGGTGAGTCTATTATCCACGTGTTATGTATGCATTAACATTGGTCGACATACACTTTCTCCAGTGATGTTATATTTCTGAAAAGAAACGAA